GAGTACACGTTGCGTACACAAAGCGCAAAATCTATAAGGGCATCGAGCTTATCTTTTATAGGAGCGACCTTTTGTACCTTTTCGATTAAATGTTCGATGATCAACTCTGGTCTGCCGAAACACATGCGCAGCGTTGCTATAATTTCCGGAAGGGTCTGGTACGATATGTCGAAATTTAAATTGTCGAAACTAAAAACACCGAAAAAAAATGTCGAAAAAAATAGTTAGAAAATCAAGAATGTCGAAAGGAAAAATGTCGAAAACAAAAAATGCTGAAAATAAAAATGTCGAACAAAAAAATATCGAAATAATGTAATGAATGATGTGTAAAATTCGCGCGAATTTTACACATCATTCATTACATTATTTCAACAGGTTGATTTATTTAAGTTAAATTCCACTAATCCTACATATGTACTAATATAATAAATGTGAAAGTTTGTGAGTGAGTATGTTTGTTGTTCGTTCACGCTAAATCGTCTGGATATATTTCAACTAAATTTGGAATATAGATATAATATACTAACATATAAAATATTTTTTGGAGTTGCCACCTCTTTAAAAGTAGAAATCGATTAATTAACAAGTTTAACACAATATTAGCAAGCGAAAACGGTTCAGAAACTATAAATTTCGGAAGTATTTTGTAATAGGGTTGCCGCCTGTAAAAAAAGTAAAAGTCAATTAATTGATAACTAAATATACTTTAAGACGGTTGCTATCTGTGTAAAAAGTTAAAATCAATTCTTTGAAAAAGTTTAAACGAAATATTTTAATGTGGGTATCAAACGAGAATGCTTTATTGTAGAAATATTTTTAGAGAGTTGCCATCTTTTCAAAAAGTTAAAATCAATTTAAATAACGGGAGCACTGCATAATCCCGACTTTGAAGATCCCGACTAGACATAATCCAGACAATTTTTAAAAATCCAGACAATACAAAATCCAGACAGGACATAATACAGACATAACAAAATCCCGACCAAATAAAATACAGATAACACATTATTCAGACAAGACAAATCATGACAACTCAAAATCCCGACAAGACACAATCCAGACAAAAAAAAAGTACAATGCGTCCGGAAATGAAATTGATGACTTACGCTTAAATATAAACGGTTACCACTCCACATTTTTTCGCTTCTTCACT